GGCCTCACCAAATGCAGGGATTATAGGCATGAGCCACCAAGCCCAGCCCAGTTTTAATTGTCTTTTGAACGTGAATTTTAGTCTGGATGCATTGGCTCACACCTGTAATCCAAGCACTTTGGGAGGCCAGGGTGGGCAGATCACTCAAGCCCAGAAGTTCGAGACCAGCTTGAGCAACATGATGAAACCCCATCTCTACTAAAAATACAAAAATTAGTCAGCATAGTGGCGGGCATCTATAGTGCCAGCTACTCAGGAGGCCTAGGCAGGAGAATTGCTTCGGCGTAGGAGGTAGAGTCTGCAGTGAGCTGATATGGCACCACAGCACTCCAGCCTGGGTGACTTGGCAAGACCCTGTCTCAAAAAAAAAGAAAGTGGATTTTGTGAGTTTTTGATGGCTTTTATATTTACTTGTACTTTATTAAGATCAAGTCTTTAAAGACAAGTTTAGGTATTTTTAAAAGACGATTTCAGTCACTTTTAAGCTTTTTGACTACTTACGCATTAGTTCCACAAATTCTCTTTTCTCTCATTGTCATGCTGAACTCAGCTGAAGTTCAAGCTGGTCAGATTATTTTGCCCATTTATTGGTAATTCTTTGGTGGTGTTTTTTTTGTTTTTTGTTTTTTGTTTTTCGGGGACGAAGTCTCACCCTGTCGTCTTGGCTCACCACAACCTCCACCTCCCAGGTTCAAGCAGTTCTCTGCCTCAGCCTCCCAAGTAGCTGGCATTACAGGCACCTGCCACCACGCCTGTCTAATTTTTGTATTTTTAGTACAGGGTTTCACTATCTTGACCAGACTGGTCTTGAACTCCTAACCTCATGATCCACCCACCTCGGCCTGCCAAAGTGCTGGGATTACAGCCGTGAGCCACCATACCTGGCTGGTGGTGGTGTTTTTTTTTTACATCATCACTATATGCAGTGCCCAGAACAGCGCCTTGAATATGGTAGAAACTCAATTTTTTTTTTCCTGAGATGGAATTTTGCTCTTGTTGCCCAGGCTAGAGTGCAATGGCATGATCTTGGCTCACTGCAACCTCTGCCTCCCAGGTTCAAGCGATTCTCCTGCCTCAGCCTCCTGAGTAGCTGGGATTCTAGGCATGCACCACCATGCCCGATTAATTTTGTATTTTTAGTAGAGACGAGGTTTCACCATGTTGGCCAGGCTGGTCTCGAACTCCTGACCTCAAGTGATCCACCTGCCTCTGCCTCCCAAAGTGCTGGGATTACAGGTGTAAGCCACTGCTCCCAGCCTTTTGCTTTTTTTTTTTTTCTTTCATATGCAAGCCTACCTGAATGATTGCTTTTGGTTTTTGGGGGGGACAGAGTGTCATTGTGTCACCCAGGCTAGAGTGCAGTGGTGCTATCTTAGCTAACTGCCTCCCGGGTTCAAGCTGTTCTGCCTCAGCCTCCGGAGTAGCTGGGATTACAGGCGCCTGCCACCACGCCCAATTAATTTTTGTATTTTTAGTAGAGGTGGGGTTTCACCATGTTGGCCAGGCTAGCCTCGAACTCCTGACCTCAAGTGATCTGCCTGCCTCAGCCTCCTCCAGTGCTGGGATTACAGGCGTGAGCCACTCCTCCCGGCCAAAACTCAGTATTTGTTGTAAATATTTGTGTTGAATCTCTAAGGGGAAAAGCAGCAGAGATACAATGTGGTGTTCTTACATCTGTTGACCATTCAACCAGTGTTTTAATCACTATAGAAGCTTCTTTATTGCTAATTTATTTCTGCAAGGAAGTCATGTATCTTCTGTTTCTAAAATATGGCTGATTACTAGATTATGGTTGTCCCCAGTTGTTTTATTCCTAGAGTTTGTTTCTTTAAAAATAGTGTTTCCCAAAAAGCAACAAAAGAGTTATTTCTCTGTAGTTAAAGTCTTTGGAAAACTTTTGTAGATTGGTGTATCCTTAACCATTTTAAAATCAAAACTGATTCCTGAAGGATTTTTCTCAGTGACAGGGTAACTCTGATAATCAATGGGTTTTTGTATTTGATTATATTCTCTCTTTAGTTATGTCATAATGCCTTCACATTTTAGTAAGACCTGCATATATATGAGACCATTTAGAAATTTCTGTTTTTGCAGAAGTAAAACTACCTTTTAAAATAAACAGTAGGCTGGTGTGCAGCTCACACCTATAATCCCAGAGCTTTGGGAGGCTGAGGCAAGAGGATCACTTGAGCCTGCGAGATATAGGCTGCAGAGAGGTATAGTGTGCAGTGAACTGATCGTGCTACTGTACTCCAGCCTAAGTGACCCTGTCTCTAAAAATATATATATATAATTCCAGTTAGTCAAACATCATTTAAAGTTTTGATTTAAGGCCGGGCGCGGTGGCTCAAGCCTGTAATCCCAGCACTTTGGGAGGCCTAGGCGGGTGGATCATGAGGTCAAGAGATCGAGACCATCCTGGTCAACACGGTGAAACCCCGTCTCTACTAA